CCAAATTTTTAGTCCAAAGAATGGCAACAACAAAACTAACGTCAAATAAGAATGGAAATGTATGTACAAAACACATTCACACAAGCACAAGCACAATAAACACTTACTATATCAATTATTTTTTGCCTCCTTCCAATTTCAATTCATTTCTTTTACTTTTTAGATTGTTCTCACTTTTTGCGTATTCTTTAATTTCCGTTAATTTAAATTCAGTTGAGTTTGACACTTTTCAGGATTTTGCCAGAAAAATTCTTCTGACTAAATCTGACTACTTCGGACTGATGAGTCGCTCTCACTGACTGTTGCTCTCTCATTTTTGCTGTCATTTCCGAGTTAAGGAACGCTTTTTGGACTAAATCTGACTACTTCGGGCGTTTTCTGGGAGATAAGGAACGCGCCTATTGTGTTTTAGGCGCAATAATTGTGACAGTAGTCATACGATGAATTTTGTCAGTGTTGTGGGAATAGGGCGGTGAATATGCTTGAAAGATCTATGTATACCCATTTGCCGCAATTCAAAACATTAACTATTTTTCTTAATATTTTAATATATTTTCGAAATTGGCATCAATTTGAGACAAACAATGGATGCGGGTTAATAAGAACTTTTTTAAACGACACAAACGATTTGTGCAAATTTAAGAGCTCTATAAAACAAAGCAAGTAATACGCATTACAATTGAACGGCATAACCCCGGATTAGTGCAATTATATGATTCGTTTATTGGCCAATAGTAGACCTTTTATTTACGAGCTTATTGATAGAAAGAAAATTTTAAGTCATTATCATAATATTTAAGGAGCTGATCTCACAATAGACCTGTTGTTATTCCTATGACGCCTTTTTTGTTTTGGCAAGATTGCGTGCTTTTTTCATACGATTTTCAGCCTCGGCAACTGCTTTCGATTTCGTTCGTGATCAAGCTAGGAATTCCGCGACTTTCGCATTCCCTACAGTTAAAAGTGAACATTTTAATTTATATTTGCTATGTGATTTCTGGAATTGAATTTTAGATACTGCCGCAGTTGTTTACGACAACTTCATTAATTTATCTTAAAAGGCGATTTTGCGTTCAACTTTTGCTTTCAACTCACGCAGGGTTGCACGAAAAAAAAAAAAGTTGATTAGCTAAATGTTGGCTGGTGACCAACTTTGTTGAAAGCGATTAGTTGAAAGGCCGTTCCACAAGTTGAACAATGCAAACGCCTTTTTATGGCGAATATTTTATTTTTTTTATACTTTGAAATTTTTAGCCATTAAATTTTTTTTTTCGTGCACCCTGCGTGAGTTGAATGCAAAAGTTGCCTGAAAATCGCCTCGTGCGAAGGCCCTATTAACAAACAAAAACGCTACATCGAAAAAGGCAGATTTGCTGGTGGTGTTCAAAAAAAAAAATCCGCATAAGAGCAATTTAAAGCTATTTAACTTTAATGTTTACTTCATAAATACTAACCGAAGAACAAATTCACTTAGCTGTGATTTTTACATCCATATTTATTTGCCATAATATATTCTATGTACAGTGTTGTTTTAATTATCATTTTATAGCATGTTGTCTACTGATAGAAAGACCATAACCCTTCTTTTAAATAAAAACTAATTCATGTTGTTCAGACACCTAATCAAGAAAAAAATCTCATATTTTTATTCGTCCAAAAGTGAAAGGTCAAAATCAGCACTAAACAAATGTAACACATTCCTAAATTTGATACCTTAAACCCATTGCATTTCAGATTAATTTGCCAATTTTGCTACTGGTATTATCTTTCAAATATGTCACGTGTGGAAACTTCATGGATCGTGCGTATTTCTTTTATAAATTTGGACTTGCTTTGCAAGAGCTCGGAGAAGACTTAGGCCGAGGCCACGCAATGAGCGGCAAAGCGTAGGGCGGCTTAAAATTGAAATATATAAAATACTATTGAAGTGGCCATACAGAAATGCCGCTCAGCCGCTCGCCGCTTTGCCGTTCATTGCGTGGCCTCGACCTAAGATTTGCCTTATCGATAAGTATATAAGGGATAGCATAATTACCTAATTTCTGAATTATCAGAAAAAAGAAAAAAAAAAGAAAATAGACCACGAAATGCCGTCACGGTATGAAATTCAACCCGAGAATTGTCTCTTATGCACTATAAATTGAATTTCTGATTAGATACTGTCGCAGACAACGCTGGGTTTGAGTGTACACTCGCCATGTTAAAAGTTTTGCATTTTTTATATCGCATATATGTACTTTTTGAATATGAATGCTTTAGTAAATGGTAATAATAACTACATTTATATTTTTGTTTTATTTTATGTTTTAGTCTGTTTTATAATTAGATTATCATCATCGTGGGTGAAGCACTCCACACGGATGTTTTCTTACTATTCAAAGTTTCAAAGCAGCAGCAACAAATTTCTGATGTTGATGGTATTTTTTTAATATTATATTATTAATATTTATAATAAGTTATCATATACCATGATATCGTCTGTCTCTCGTGATTATTTAATATTTTCGGTATACTTTGTATTTGCATTTAACTATGTATAGTATATATATAATTAAAATTTTTGATGTTTCACCTTTGCATTAGCAATTAATTTGGAAATGATGATACAATTTATTTATTTGCTGTTTCTGTGTAATATTGATTTGATTGCTTCTGAAAAAATATACTGAATTTCAGTTCAATGAATTAGTGTTGGAACAAAATAACTTACATATTAAATAGTTACAAGAAATATGATCAACATTATTTTACGCATCTACATAAGTATCGAATACATAATATTATTTAACGAAAAGCTACGCGGTCGCGGTCAACTCAGATTGGTCGGATAATTCCATTCCCGTTACATACTTTTTTATTCACTTCTTCGGTCAATGTAATACATTTAAACCTATTTGTTTATTATTACTAGTTTTGATTGACAAAACAGTATTTATTTTAAGATAAAAACTATTTTACTCACTAAAGCTAGTGGTGAAAGAACTTATTTGTAATTTTGTCACGACTCCAAACATTTCAATTTTGGAATATTTCATATCGGTAAAATTTTTTATATGCAATATACACATACATATGTATGTAGTTTTGCTACTATTCAATTATCAAAAATACAATTCATGTTTCAAATCCATCTCCTCTTCTACTATGCAAAAGGAAAATCCATTTGACTTCTATAAAGGATATTCAACTGCAGTTAATACAAGTTTTTGTGAGCGAACCCGTGGACAATCTTTCCTTCCTTTTATAGATTCGTTTCAAAATTATACAAAAGTACACTGTACATTTGTGTACGTAGTTCGGATGGGCGTAATCAGGAAAATCAATAATTGAATGAAAGAAAACTTACAATAAATTTGAATTCGTCACTCAAGTAATTTCGAATAACGAATAAATTTTCATGCATTTATATTTATTAATCATGCAAGAAATTTCAAATACGAATAAATTTTCATTCATTATCTAAGTAATTTTTATTTATTTTTTGATCAGTAGACACGAACATCTGCCTGCAAACGACCATTTACTTTGAAAATTATTGGTTATTCGAAATTACTCGAATGGTGAATGAAAGTTTATTCGCTTTTTAAAATACTTGAAGGATGAATACAAACAAATTTATTCGCCATTCGAAATTATTTGGATGATGAATGAAAGTTTATTCGTCATTCAAAGGAATTTGGATGCTAATGAAAATAAATTCACCATTCAAAATTACTTGAATGACGAATAAAAGTTTGGTTTTTATTTGAATAATAATTAATTCAAAAACGCCCATTCCTGGTTCAAATTGACAGCATTTAACTACGGAAGATCAATATTATTGTCTCCTCCCACACCTGAACTATATATAAGCGACTCTTCGTACAGGTCGGACCTCGGCGAAGAGAAGAAACAAAGAGACGCATTCAACGCTATATATAGCTCTTGGCGAATTTGAGAGAATCGGATGTGAGTTATTTTTCTTTATTTCGAACTCTATATATGATTTGTTTACAATGGGGAGCGTTCTAACTTTTTTCTTCTCCTTCTTGCTTATTCGTTTATTAAGTCACGTGGGGTAGTGGGCCAGTTGAACTTTTTTTACTCTCCTCAAAGTTTTTAACTTTGCCATTTTCAATCTCCTGACGTCTTTTGCATAATTTCTTTCTATAGTTTTTAGGTTTTTCGTTCACACACTAACAGTTTTTATTAAGTTTTTTTTTTTGTCGGGAATCTTGCTGTTATAACCCAGTGCCGAACTAGTTTTCAAGTGTTACAATGGTTTAACTTGTTCCATTTCCAACAACAAACTGTATGTGTTTGAACTAGTTTACGAAATATCTTTCCCCATTTAATTAAATGATGTCAATTTGAACGTATTATTATTTATTATGCTTCAAAGTGGTTTATGTATAGAATACATAAAGGGTACATAATTCGCTTTCACTTAATAGTTGCTAATTCAAATCTATTTCAATCTATGTATTATCATTCTTAAGCCAATATTATTACTGTGATATCTTCATTCGGTTCAGTTCATGTAATTACCGAATCGTTCTAAAACAAATTCATCCCTAATTGCCCGCAAACAATTTTATTCTGAACTTTTTGCGGTTGCCTTTCATATTTCTCGCTTTCAATTTTCTTGTAGTAACTTGATCATCACTTTGAATGTCTTCTTTCACATTTTTATTGCAAACCTCTATAGGCAAAAACACATCACTGGTGCGCCTTTCTCAACGTTTACCTTTCGAGCTTTTCTTCCTTTTGTTGTTGCTGCTGTTAGTTGATGTTGAGTTGTTGTTGCTGTTAGCTACTTGTTGCAGTGATTCTCAACTTCTTTCCGGCGTGCTATGGTGATGATAGATCTGTTGAATTTGTTGCTGCTGCTGCCCACCCGCTGCACTGCTATGGGCCACTTGGCTGCTGGATGTTACTACATCTTGTTGCTGTTGGATATGTTGTTGCTGTTGAGCGTGCACTTGCTGCTGCTGATGATGAGTCTGTGATTGCTGAATGTGTACAACATGTTGAGTTAAATGTTGAGGCGTCTGTGATTGAGTCTGTCCGCCATGCTGAGGCTGTTGATGTGGTGACGGACTATACTGGAACTGTTGCTGAAACATATGTAACTTTATAATTTAGTTATTGACGCATTCGTTTATTTGTAAGAAAAAAATAAAACTAAAAATATATTTATGAACAAACAAACCGCGTATCAGGAGGTTGCATAAATTACTTTTTAGACGAGTAAAAACACTCATATTTCAAAATAAGTTGCGTTCGCGTAGCTGTTAATTGTTCAAAGATAACCAAAACTTTCAGGTTTTTGCATTCGTGTATGACGAAAAAAACTTCCCAAGGTAAGGGAAATTGAGAGAGCAAAGTGACATTTCATTTTGAGGGCAAGCTGCTGTTAGTTTCTGCTGGAGAACTTTTGCCAAGAGGAAAACAGCTGATCAAAAACGGCTGGTAGGAATTTACGTAAATCAAAAAATTGAATTTGATGGTTTGGAAGTTAAAATGATAAAATGCGACTAAATAAACTTGTAAGTACTAAGTAGTTATTCGTTTAATTAATAAACTATGTCACGGAAAACTTTTTGTGATGAGTTTTCGTACGTTTTAAATTTTACAATTTCGAATGTAAACACAAATTCTATCAGCTGTTCGTCTAACTTGCACGTTTCTGCAAATTTTCTGTTCGCGTACTATTTTGGATATATTTCTCTTGTGAGAGAACAGATGACATTTCGCCCGAATTTTGCTGTTGGATGTTTTTTACTGAAGATTTTAAACGAACGCACCTATCGTTCTCTTTTTTATAAATCAATCGCATTTCTGGCTAGTATATTTCAGGACGAAGGGATAAGGATTTAGCCAAGAGCAAGTCCAATTTTTTGCAAAAAATGTCAGTTACGCGGTCAAAAACGTGACCGATCATGGGATTCCAACGCGCTTCTCAGTTTATTCAAAAACTGTATCTAAATAGATCCGTCAATTAGAATTTATTTGGATAACGAGAGTAACAGACCCCCTCGTTGGTTGGACAAAAGCAGTCTTTCAGTTTTGGCTGGGTTTGCACACTTTTTGTAATTGTTTGAACACTTTACCTGTACAGTCTCTAAACTTACCGAGTTTTCTTGACTATGTTCGATAATTTCGATGCTTCCCGAAGTATTTCCTGATGTGTTGTTAATGGAGGTGCTACTTGTATTAGCCACGTCATATTTTCCTCGTTTAAAGCGACCATACAAAGAGCTATAGGGGAGGTTGTAGTGAATCGCGGCCTGGTTAATGGACATCTGACCAATACTACAAAAAAAAGATAAATATTTAGTTTAAAAAGTCATATTGCAACCGAAATGATGCAGTTACGTACCGGACTGAATTTAGAGCTTCATTCATTGCATCTTCTGACCAGGGTGTTGGATTCGAGCGAGACAATTCAATACCCTCACGTTTGCAGCGTCCATAAAGTGTTCCTTTGGTAGTTATATAAAATAATGAGTATTATAAATTAGTTTATGATAATTTTTATTTTGCCTACAACGCACAATGGTCGGAAACCCAAAAAGAAGATGATCAACAGTTTAAAAGCGAAATTTAGATTTTTTAATTACGTCATTCGATCGATAAAATACGCTTTGACGCAGGGAAAAGTTTGCTCAGGAATCAGTGAGCAATCTGTAAGATACGTTTTAAATAATTAGCCGATTTAAATGACTTCAATGGGATTCCTTATTGGAAGACTTGTTTTTTTCTAATTGCGTTAGTCAAAACTTTTTATCTTGGTTGAACATTACTCAATCGATTTCAAGGCTCAAATTAATATCAGGAATGACAGTTTAATCATTTTATAAACAGCGATCAATGTATGATGTATGGCGAATTCATACAAGGTGATAGCAGCAGCATAAAAAACAAAAAAAAAACTACGCTAACAAATTGTACGCAAGATGACAATCAGAACACAAAAAATTTACAACAAACACATAATTTTGACAATCAGCACAATTCGCCTTGAAATCAGCTGCTACGGTAACACAACCTTATATGAATTCGCCTTGGTATGATGTTGAAGCCAAAAATTAAAATAAATTTAATAAAACTATATAACACAACACAAACCTGTAGGAATTCCAAATTCGGCGCTGGCTTTTTGAACGGACGTATGCCCGGCACGTATTGCCTCTAATGCTCGCTCCAAATCTTCCGGAGTCCACGTTGTTGGAGCAGCATTAAATGGTGCCGCCAAGCGTATACCCTCACGCCGTGCAATTTTATATAGTGTCGACGAAGGTATACCAAAGGCTTTAGATGCTTTATTTGCTGATATTTGGCCCGAACGAAGGGCCTCCAAAGCATTATTTAAAGAATCTTCATTCCATGATTTGGTACCACCTTCCTTCTTTGGGGTTTCAATGCCCATACGATGGGCACGTTGCCACAAAGTGGTAGATGGTATGCCATATGTGACTGAGGCCTTTGTAAGGCTCATATTTTGATTCTTCAATGCATCTAAAGCTGAATTCATATCATCTTGAGTCCAAGTTTTGGGACCATTAAACTGACCTTTAATATCCACATGTTGTTGGTCCAAATTAGTATAATGAGGCTCATTTTGATCGTTAGGTGAGCCATTTGCTATCATCATTGAATCCTCACTAGTATCTGAATTATACATATCTGAAAAACAAAAAAACGATTTGCAAATGAACAGCATATAATTTAACATACGGAAATGCGCATTTAATAAAATTATATACAAATGCATATACAACAATTAGACCGAACTTCATTTACGTGGTGTATAGAAAGTTGTTATTTACTAGCCTGTCGGCGTGGTCAACTTCAGAAAGAATCGGCGCGTCTAGAAACGCCGGCGCTACTGCCCATAAGGCAGACTCCAAAGAGCCCTGAGGCTTCTAATCTTATCATGTCATCAGATTATAATTCGATTTAATTCATTCACTGAATTCAAATGTTGAGTGACTGCTGCTGATGGATGGGCGAACAAAAGAAGGTCTATATAGTATATACATTCAGCCTCATTGCGTAAGTCGTAAATTAGGCTGAATTGTACGACTCGACAACATTAGCATTGTCTACTGTCGTGCTGAAATAAGCAAACGACGAAAATTGTCGAAAACTATGCAGTGCTGCCAAGTTTTTCCGTTTTAATACACTAGTCGAGTGGAAATTTTAGGCAATGGCGCTAAATTTTCGATACGATTCGACTCTCGAAAAACGACTTGCATTCGGCACGACTCTCGCAATGAGGCTGATTAGGTTTCCCATCGACAATGCTTTTTTTTTTTGAAAATTTACAGACCCTACCCCCTAATTTGATTCGTTTTTTATGAGAAATATTATTGCCTATTTTTATAGATTTTTTAAAGGCCATTTAGAGGTCGCAGCCTGTCGATTTAGGTCAGAAAATACGATTTTCTAGATTTATAAGTTTTTGAATGGCTATTTTTGCTTGAATTTCAAAGAATTTTTTAAATTTTGACCATCGATAATTTCCACAATTTGAAAATATGTAGTACTAACGTACAAAAAAATGATTTTCGATGGGCACCCTAATATACATACATCTTAAAGCACTGCAAATATACCAGCAGAAATACTCTTCACATGTGTACATGAGTATATGGAACATATATTTTGGAGTACTTAAAAAGATAGGAACAAAAAAAGAGAACATCATA